GGAAGACACTCAAAGTGCAAGTCTTGGATTGTTGCAACTGTTGCACGGGCAGTATGGGGCCGAGCATTGTCATGTTGCAAAAGGACACCTCTAGTCAAAAGTCCACGTCGCTTTGATCTGACTGCAGGTCGAAGATGATTCTTTAAGATTCTTCACTGATCAAAAAACGAATTACAGAACGTTGTTTTTCTTTCGTGCACGTAACTAGTGGAGCAGCCATTTCCAAATTGGCACTGTGATGGCGATATGTTTGTCTGCATTATACTACCACCTATAGGATACTCGTTATAGCATTGGTAACATGTCTGTCAACTTATAGGACAGTGGCGCGATATTTCGAATTTTTATCTCAGTTTTACGGTTTTCATTTGACTCACCCTCGTAGTTGTTTCAGCCTTTATCTAAAATTATGTAACACTTGTACATGTGGGTGTAAAGTAGTAAGTACTTTACGTGAAGCACAAATCAAAGATTATGAATTATCTTCTGCTATGGCTCATTACATCAAAAATTGGTACGTAATATGAAAGTAGAAGTTTTTAAATTTTTTATGACATTTTATATATATATATATATAATGAAATGAAAAATAATTTTTTCAGTGTGGTGGTAATGTGGGTTGTAATGTACCTGGTTGTGACACCATGTAGCCTTGTCAGTACTTAATCAAAATTTTGGAGGGACATTGGTAGGAAAGAACCTACTGGTGTCACAACCAAGAACACTAAAATCCACAAAAAATAAACTTTTGGCTGTGTAGTTAGATCATGTTTGCAATGATAAATTTGTATTTGCGGTAGTAGATTTATATTTGAAATAAATTAATGGCACAACATCCCAGAAGACAATCATTTTTATTCTCACTGCCACGAGAACATGGTTAATTTTACCTAATGTGGAACTTTGTTAAAGTGCGTAGCCAAGACCACTCATGTTCGATATAAATCCACGAAGCGGTCAATTCTTGTATTTCTTTTATACCGTGTGTTCAGTGAGAATATTGTTTCTGTAGATTCTGTCCAAAGATGGAAGCAGTCAGGTTGGAAAGATCTCCAAACAATGGGCTGGACTCTTAAGAGAAGCGTTCACTGATGCTGACTACTTTGGCATTACGTTCCCCATGGATTTGGATGTTAAGATGAAGGCAGTCATGATGGGTGCATGTTTTCTAATTGTAAGTACTGTGGAGTCAGACTTCCTTTACATTTTATATCAATATTGAGTTCCAGTTTTTGTAGTAGTCGTTACATAAATCTGCATATATCCCTTCTCAGCATTTATTTTTATATATTTTTATATATTTACTTATATAGTATTTTTATGAATTTGATGGTTATATGGGGAAATAACATATAGTCACCGCAGTGAACCCACTAGTTTCGTGCATTTTGTGGTATCATCTATGAATTAATACAATACTGATACGGTATGTTTATGTAGTTTATTTAGACAACTGGTGTGTGTATGTGCGTGCGTATGTACTATGTATACTTAGAATACACTGCAGTGTTACAGCAAACCCATTCATTTATATTGACTTTCTTTATTGAATGGTTTGTGATATAAAAACTGAAAGGGAAAATATACTTTCATTTAAGAGACCTGTTGCAAAAATTTGTATTGTTAATTTATATATTTATTTTACTTATTTCACACTCCAGTCATTTCATACTTTTTACAAATGTATTTTAGGCCTTTACAGTAAATTAAAGAGGGATATAATATATTTTGTTCTATGTACATGAAGTTACATCCTTATAGAATGTGCGATGTGTACGTTGATTCTTTAAAGATGTGTGATAATGTTGATTATAACTTTATATGTTGGATTTGTCCGATGTCCACGTATTAGATTTATATATTTAATATTTTGGCATGTCTGTACCCGTCTTCATATTTTTGGTTGTCACTGTATTGACTTCTGTGGTGGTAAACGAGTTAAGTTAGTATTCATAGAATCAGGGTTTAATTCAAACCACTTTCACAGATATAGAAAGATGCAGTAAAAGATACTACTTATGAAATGAGATCTATTAATCTATTAACGTAAATATGGGACTGGAGTGAACTTTGGAAGTGTCCCGTATAACAAATATACGTCAGGCAGAATGTCCATTGTGATTGAGGAACGGTGTTTGTGTCTTGTCATTTATGTGTTATTCAATTTGAAATAGGATGTGATGTTCTTTGAGAAACAAGGCAACAGAGAGTCTGATCGTCCTGGAATGTTTTGAGCAACAGCTCATTATTTTATGACTTTGGTATAGTGAGGTAAGCATTTCGAAATGTTGCTCCTCAGAGGTTGCAGGCTTGAAACTAACTGCATTTGCAAATGGGATACAAAGCATGTTGGGGAGCATGATATGTTTATGTGTGTCATAGTTACGATACAAAGTACCGGCACTATCCTGCATACAGTAAAACCTCGATACGGTAACTTCTTTCGCTGTCTAATGGTCTCTTTTAGGGAAGAACGAAGCGTGTTGGTAAGTGTCGTGGGCGGTTTTGCGCGTTACATATCGATAAACTCCCGTGACTTACGTAGACCATCTGTTGTGGAACGTAGGAGATTATGTTAGCCAGTGGATGGGGGGGGACAAAAAATGCATACAGAGTTTTGGTATGGGAATTTGTTACAAAGCAACTATTAGATAAAACCAAGAATAGCTAGGAAGATAACATTAAGCTGCATTACAGATAAATAAATTATGAGGATGAAAAATGGATTGAGCTGACTTAGTATTGTATTAAATGGCAGATTCTGATGTTAGTGATGTTGAACCTTTATGCTGTCTTACTGTAAGTTAGATATAGTTCATTCTTAGTACGTCCTCAGATTGCGAACTGAGCTGACGGCCTCCATATATGGAGGGTAGATATGACAAATTAATAAACAGCTAACTTTTGCATCTGAGTTAAACTCAGCTTATATGTTGGGTAATATTAGCCGTGACAGGAGTGAAGACACTGTCTTCTAAGCCATTCTTTTCTTTAAATTGACGTTAATTGTGTAGAGGTTTTACTGTGTTCGCTACTGCATGAGTAGCAATCACATTATGAGCTTTACAGTGTCCTAACTGACCCTCTCCTCCTTCCAGCCTTTTCATATTGGTATTTTAGTACAATGTTTCTGAAATGTGACACATTTGAGTAAATTTCGATAGTGTACAGGAGCACCGATGGAGTCTGTTCAGTATTTATGTATGTATGCAGAGGACAACTGTTTATTATCATGCCATTACTTTGATTAAGATACCATTGTTTTATTAACTTTATTTTGTTTTGTGGAATTATTCTTATTTTTTACAACATGTTTTAGGATACTTCTGAGTTTGTCGTAAAACTGGGATTGCTCATAGTATGAGTTTCAGAGTATGCCATAATATTTAGTTTAATTGTCTAAAGCTTAACTCAAAACCACAAGTCTGAATTTATCAGGATAATATTAAAAAATAAGGATAATTGTTTTAAGCGTTCTGTTTCTAACCTTATTTCTCGTCTAAAATAATTAGCAGAGCTGTCTCTCTAATTCAGAAAAATATATACCAGTTGTCATGTCACTTGCATTAGAAACATTAATTTTTAAATAATCATCTATTCTCCATGGCTGTGTCCAGCTTAAAATTTTTAATATTTAATTTTTTAAAATTTTATTTTGGCGAAGAATTAATTTTTATGTTATAATTATAACTGTTATGTTATATAATTCATTTTGAAGAATTGTCGTGGAGAAGTATGAAAATGACTTAAGTCAGTAGTTCATCTTTGGTCATTGTTCTTTGCACTGCTTTGACTTATCTGTTGTTTTATAGCATATGCATGTGTTAAGTTTACTTATTTATTTTTGGGTTAACTGTTGGTGAGTGAGAGGTGAAGCCTTCCAGTAAGGGACTTGTTCTTCTTCTTCTTCTGAAGTACTACAGTCCGTAGTGGACCCTGGCTTCCGGTACAATTTTTCTTTTGTTCATGACAGTCCTTAGCAAAGTAAACACCTGTCTGGTTGGGATTTCACCTGTACTGTCTTATCAATATAATATTGTTTTTATGGGGTTGCGTTGTCAACCCAATGCCCAACCCCCCAGCCTGGAGGACCAGGGCATCTCTCTCAGTCTGTAATCTCACTCTCGACTTGTCCGGCTCGAGAGACCCTACCAGTAGCTATTCTACCACTGGCATAGCTCTTGAGATCATTGCAACTCAGAAGCCCCACTGACACAACAAGGTGAAGACACTACCGGGTGGAATTGAAGGACTTTGTTTGTGAAAATGTGCCGGTTGGTCAGGCCTAACACACTGCAGGAGTAAAAATCTAGAGGCATATTCTGCATTCTCATTGTAATCTCTACTTTATGGTGCTGTCATGTATAGAATCTTTTAACCACACCAACAGGATTTATATTAGTAGGTCTCAGTGTAACGTAATGGCTTCAGTTCTGTTTTATGACTACCCGTGAAAGAGGTTGCCATCGCAATTCCCCAAAGTAACAGTCAACACTTTTCATTTTGTCAATGACTTATGATATATTGAAATTCTGTGACCCAGTTTTCTACATCGCTCCATCTCAGTGTTACCTACATGTATATTCGTTGAACCAAAATGATCAGCAATATTTAGTAAGTCGTATTTCACAGTAGCATTAAGTAAGATGGTTCAGGGAACCTACAACTGTATTTTATGCTCGTTAGTGTTAATGTGATTTTGGAGATGTCTGTATATTTATGCGACTGTTTCACATGTATAAAAATGTTTTCGCACTCAGTAGGTTTATGTGTAGCAAATCAGCAGACATTTGAATATGAATAAAGTCTAGTTGTAGGCACGTACCACTGAAAATGGATCACCATTTCAAATAGTCAGTATCATCACAGCAAGAGTTGCACGATGGATGTTGCTTTTTCTTTTTCTAAGAGAATCCAAATATTAAACTAAGAAATCATTCGGTTTTGTCTGTAATCGTTATACCTTTTCTACTTAAACGTAACCACAAATATAAAATAATGGTGAAACTGTTGTCCTTTCCTTGAGTGGAGGTTCCACTTGTGTTTAAAGTGCTGTAACATTTTAACGTATGTCTTTAGGTGGCGACTGACTTGTAACATTTACTCGTAATGTAACATTCGCGGCGAGCATGTTACATTACACCACAACTGGTGAGGCGCATCGAATGCTCGTTTTGAACGCTCGGCTCGACTGTGCTCGTGTGCCACCTTTTAGTTTCGTTATAGGGTACATAATACTTTTAGATGTTTAATGTAATGTATAATTTACACTTTTTTCCCTTTACAGCATGTCCTAATGAATTTACTAACATGGTGGCTTTGGAAATATGTTTTTATATTTAGCGATAAAATAATATGCATTAGCTTCGAGGGTTCTTTACGCGTAATAAATATTTAAGTGAAGGGATGTGTGTTAATGGCTGGGGTTAAA